AGGCGGACTTAATGCCATAGGCGTTTTCTTCCAGTCAACCTTGGGGTGATGCAGAGATTTGTGTGTGGCAGGTGTATAATGAGATAAATTATTTAAATTGTAGTCGGTTGCAAGATGTTATACTACACAGATATACGGGATACATATATAGATGCAAATATCATTTATACGTACTATATAATACTATATATATAAAAAAAAAAACATAAACATACACACATACATCCATACATATATGCCTGCATTGATGAACACACGAGGGGTTATTTTGATAACTCCGTCAACAAGTCTCCATAGAGCTTGCGTACTCTGATCTTAAAGATTGTTCGGTTGGTGGATGTCCTGATCTCTAGGGGAAGGGCGTTATTTCACAAAGTATTGTCGGAAAGTTATACCATTTCAAGGCTAAGCTCGTGACGTGCTGAGCCAAAGGCGTTTTCTAAATCTATCGAACAGTCTGTTATGGCCTTTTATTCTTCCGAGCATCTTTGAGACTTTCCGCAAGTAGTGAGTTATGTTCCAAACATGCAGAGATTCTGGGCTCATCCTTGCTGGTAATTTGGTCTGAAGTAATTATTGTTGGACATAAACTGTGTTATTTTTAATAGAAGACAGGAGAAAAATATTTTAGAAATTGTATTGGTAAGGGCTATCGGTCTAGTGTCCCTGGGATCTACTACTTCACTTTTCTTAGGAATGAGGATAAAATTAGCATTTCCAAAGGTTGTTGGCATTTCTTTGCTCGACTAGATCTTGCCGAATATACTTAGAAGGTATACCATCAGGCCCAGGAGCTGATCTTGAATTTTTCTTTCTAATTTATGTATCTACAAACTAATATGAAGAGAACGTACGTATTTTGTTTTGTAATTCTTAATTTAGCCTCTTCTAACACTAGAATAAAAAAAAAAATTAGGTGATCCTGAAGACTGCCTCGAATCTCTAAATTATTCTAAAGTAAACTGGAGTTTTTAATGTAATATTTCAAATTCCTAATCAAGCTTAAAGTAAGACTCAATGAACCAGGAACGTTTTTTTAACTTTCAACCAATTCTTAATTAACTCTATCTTGAGTCACACACCAATGAAAACCACAGATATAAACCACTCATTATGATTGTCAGTGGTGTCAATAATTGAGATATAAGCAGAGTAATAAATAGTGTTATTTTATCTGTTTTTAAGGCATTTATATCACATGGACACTCCACTATTGGTCTTGGATCACACCCAAGTAACATTAGTGGGTATAACTGTCGGCCTATTTTAGTACACATTCAATGAAATATTTTGACCTTATAAATAATGTTACCCTAATGGAGGGTATAATAAAAATAACCTCACATATCCCACTAGCTAGGCAGAACCTGAACTATGGTAACCAGTGCTGATAAACATACTTAAATATTTCTAAATACGTACATATTATAGATAAAAAAACACCCAAACACAAGACAAATGGTCGTTTTCATCACACAATTTCGGGATCACACGAGATTCATTATCAAGGCATCCCTTTTATACAAAGTCAGTTGTAGGCGTCTGATTTGGATGCCTCTGACGCGTAAGATAAAGGACCCCTTGAAAAACTAGACTGGTTGAAAATATATGGTTCACTTCGTCATGAAGGGCCGGATTCCAAAACTAGTTATTCTTGTAGTATACAGACCGAAGTATATACTTAAGTAAAACCGTATGTGTTACAAGTACCATTAACGAAGTTTTTTATCGGAGTACACTTTTTGTGTTATATTTTATTGTGACACCTTTTAAATCTTTTCATTTCATGATATCATCTCCTCCAGTTATTTTCTCAGTTTCATTTTGCTATGTTGACTACATAAATAACAAACTAATCATTGGAAAACAAACCCGATTTCGTCTAAATGTAAATATACTAAAACTTTACAAATCGGCGATTTTAATTTTTATAATATTCAAACACCCAGTGTCTCTCTCCCAATTAAGAAGAAACTATCAACACTTCAAAAGCAAAAATCCATCAAACCGTCTAAGGTACAGGGCGTGCACAAAGAAATACACATACAAACACTCGAAACATGTAACCGTCCTTTTGTCGCACTGAATGTTTGTTTGGTTGTGATGTTTTACAGCCGAGGTTCGTATGACGGCTAAATATGTTACACCTTATGGCTCTTGCCCGCGGCTCCGCCCACGTGTATATTGTGGTAGAAAGTCTATGTCTTTCCTCAAGAATCAAAGTATTATATCTACATGCCAAATTTCATTAAAATCGGTTTAGCGGTTATGGATTATGCATTCAAACTTCCAATCCCTCTTCACCCTCTTATAGGGTGATTTCTGGGATAAAAACTATCAATTGTCCTTTCCCGAGGCTTAAACTATCGCTATACCATATTTCTTATAAATAGGTTCAGCGGTTTTAGCGTTAAGAGGTAATAGATAGATAGACACACTTTGCATTTATAATATTAGCATAGATTGTATAATTTACTACATTTGACGCAATTAAATAAACAAGTTCAAAAATCTTTAAACTTCAAAGTAAATAGTCTCTTAGAGTAAATCAACATTAAATTGTTAGATAAATTCCAAGTGAGGCCATCTGTCGCCCTACAAGAAGCAGGCCGGGGTGGCGGCGCGATGGGAAAATCGTCGTTCCCACACACGAGAGGGTCATCTATAAGCCGTAGATGGCCCGGGTTCTGTCAGGATACCAGCGATTGCCTTCCTAGAGTACACCTGGTTCCCGGCTACTGGTACCCGACACGGTTTTAGTCGGTTCGTGTCCATCACCACCGGGAATTGCCGCACAGAAACAAAGGGGAGCAAACGAGCACACAGGTCACCTGATGATGAATGACTATCACCGTTTACAAGTGCGTCACCGCCTTTAGCCCCATTAGGTCTCCGCCGTAATTACTCATTCGACATCGTGAAATTTACCAGATTTATTTTCGTAATTAAAAAGATATTGTTCTTGAGACGTAAAAACTTAACTGTAAATCGAGATAAACCGCGGGCAATAGTTATTTTAATTCACGATTGATCGCGGCCTGATGCTAGCAACGAACCCTGGGTAATATTATGTATTCCGTATCCACAGCAAGACTCGAGCGTGTGTTCTCGTACAAATCTATACAAATAAATAAAATTGAAGTGTCTGTTTGTAATATTAAAATAACCGCTTTTTACTAAATGCATATGTATGTTTACACGGTACATATGCCAAAATAACATTTTTTACAATTTTTGTCTGTCTGTCTGTCTGTCTATCTGTCTGTCTGTTTTTTCCGGGTAATCTCTGAAACGGGTGGACCGATTTCGACGGGACTTTCACTGGCAGATACACAGGTGGCGTTGCCCGCGGTTATAACAACAAACGCGGGTAACACCGCGGGTCTCAGCTAGTATAATATAAGTCTAAAGATCGAAAATTAAAAACATCGAACAATTTTTAAGAATAATATTGTTAACTAAAAGCACACATATCATGCTCGTACATTCATACACATCATCACCATCAACAGCCTTTAATAGTCTATCTCTGGACATAGGCCTCTCGTTAGAAAGCAGATTTTTGCCTACTAAACCACGCTGTCAGATAGGGTTTGTGTCAAGTTTTCCTTCTCTTTGCAGTGCTGTTGTCCTGCGTAGTTTGCTGCCTTCATCAGCTTATCCCACGGGATAAATAGGGGTGGTGACACTCCGTATTCTTAATCCGTCACCATACGGACCACTAAGCATACATACACACACGTCCTTTATCCTGAAGGTAGATAGAGGCGTATTAATCGCCGACATTTTGCTGATTACAATTCCAGTTCCAGTCACACGATAGTAATTAGGCAAGAGTATTGGTCTCATCTAAAAGGTTGTGGTTCACGAGTTTAAAATATTACAAAAGTTTAATACTATTGGTGTTGATAGCAGAAAACAATTTAGATTATTGTTACAGAAAGAATAACAACACCACTAGATTAAATTGAAAAAAACATCCCAATATGCTGTATGCACTCAAAATTTCATATAAATCGGTCCAGCCGTTTCGGAGGAATTTGGGGTAACAAACACCGCGACACGAAAATTGTATAAATTAGACTAGCTAACCCGGCAAACGTTGTTTTGCCATAAACATAATAAAATATATTTTATTTGTCAAAAAAATAAAAAAATATTTAGGGGTGGGTCACCCTTATCATTTAGGGGTATGAAAAATAGATGTTGGCCGATTCTCAGACCCAGCCGATTCACACAAAATTTCATAAAAATCGGTCCAGCCGTTTCGGAGGAGTTTGGTAACAAACACCGCGACACGGGAATTTTATATATTAGATAACATTACGCTATAACTCACAGCTGCTGAGCAATAATCACAAACGTTATCCAGGCATATAAATTGTGGACAAGTACATAAAACGAGGCATTTGAGTCAAATTTAATGTGTCTGAAACACAGATGCAGTGTAAATTAAATTTAGTAGTAGTAGAAATCTAACGAAGGTAAGTTTCTTCTGTTAGTTTTGACTACCTTAAAGTTTCTTGTCTGATTTATTGTAAAATTGTTACCAAATCCTTTTTTTAACCTGCAAATTATATGCCACATTTTGGTATAACAACTATTTAATACAAATTTCTTTAGACTTGTACATGCTCCAAAAGATCTTACCCAGAAACTCTTCATGTTTCGCGATAAACAGTAAAAGTAATGTTTAAATATAAGTAGCACACTAAACGGTGAGGATAGCTTAAACTGCAGAGTGAATTCGAACTGTGCAGCCTTTTTCTTCTCCTGATTAGATCGCGGCTAAATTAACTGTCAGCTACTAGATTTGACGTAAGATAATACCCGTTAAGCAAACAACTATACACAAAAAATAACGATGACGTATGTAAACAAACAAACAAAATTATCAGGTGTTACGTAAACATTCGCGATATGGCGACCCTTATCAATAGAAAAGCTACAAATCAACAGAAACAGTTGCCCATCAACACAACACAACACTGCGCGCGCACCTGTGTAAACAACTTGTTGTAACCGTGCCCTTGGTTGTTATACCCCATCATGTTACGACATGGTGGTAGCTGGTGGCCGCTTCGGACCACCAGTGGAATCGCGTCGTGGTCTGCCGTGATGGCGGCACATCGAGGCTGCCACACTACCGTCCTGCGCGACGGCCGCGACCGAACAAGCCCGAGGTAAACCGAAGTACTCCGAACGTTGCGACGCACCCCGCTTCTGACCCCTCGGTTAGTTGAATGGATGCGCGCGCACTGTTCCACTGTGATTTCGCCTCTACTCCGGTTGTCGAACCGAGAGCAAGATTAGGGATTAAAGCAAGTGGGTCACCTCAGATAATGGAAGGGGAGAGCGGGACGTTCACAGCGTTGACAGTTGATATGCGTAGCTTGAATGGAGTTTATAAAGTCAGCCCGAAGGGTTGGGTCCTGGATAAGATAATTATCGCAGAACAGGTGCTTTGTCATAGAACAGTGCTCAGTGTATTTAAAAAATAGAAAATTAGGAAGTAATTGCAAAATTTTGAACAACTTTTCTCTGTCTGTGAATATTTTTGCAACCTCGAATAAATATTGATAGGCATTCAATATTCAATATCATCTAAAGGTTTCGATAGATTATAATCAATAAAGTGTCTATCCAGTTACTTTGGTTAATAAACTTATATGACGCCCGTAAAGGAACGCATAAAAAAGCTCAATAGACAGATTACCTATTTTACTCTTCAACATTTTTAAACTTCTTCCATGACTTCAAGTTTAAGATTTTTATATGTTGGGGGAAGGGGAAGCAAACGAACTTGATGGTAAAAGAATGCCTCCGGCCAAGAACACATCGAGAGTCACAGATGCGTAGCCATATTAAATATTCAAAAGACTTTTCTAAACCAAGATCGTAATATTCTGTCATCATCATCATCATCAACAGCTTGCCATCATGGACATAGGCCTCTCCTTAGAAAGGAGGTTTTGGCCTACTATACCACCCTGGCGAGACGGGTTGGTATAGGGCTTGATTCAAGTTTTCCTTCTCTTTGCAGTGCTGTTGACCTGCGGGACGAATAGGGGTGGTAACACTTCGTATTCTTAATCCGTCACCAAACGAAAAAATATTCTGTGGATAATTCGAATCATTTATCGTGCATATATATATTTCTCCTGATTTCGAATCTGTCACGTTGCAATCTTTATTTACAACGACATAATATCTAGGTCATTATACACCGATAAAGGGTTTGGGACATCAAACTCGAATGACCTAGAGCTTGGAAGGCACTGACCCCAGTCAGTGTAGATATAGCTTTCGCAACACCCGTGTGAGAATAAGCTGAGCGTTTGGTAACAATTACAACAACAGTCACTTTAAATTGGCATATTTCTTCAATAATTCTAGTCCCTGGAGTATTTTTTTTCTGACAATAGGCAAAACATTTGCCATTGTAACCAGACTGCAGATAAACATACTTATATATTTCTAAATATACGTATATTATAGATAAATAAAACCCGGGCAAAGAATAAATTATCGTACTCATCACATATATAATTTGCCGTGGGTGGGAATCGACCTACCACTGCCTCAGCAGTCAGGGCCACTAACTACTTGATCAGGGATTCCCAAACTGTTTTGGGCAAGAGACGACTTTTCTAAATTGAACTGATATCTCAAACCCCCATAGCCAAATTACTGAGTGCTTATCGATTAACTGAGTTTTTTAAAATAACAATAATGACACTTCCTACCGAAAAATTAGTCATTCTTATAAAAAGTTGGTACACGTAATACAACCAATACAGTATCTTGAAAGTAAAAAAAAACACTTATTTTAATTATTAGGGTTCGATTTTTAGACCTCGAAAATCAGTTTTCGCTTGTGTCGACCCCTGGGAACTCGACCATTTTAGGAATCCCTGCACTAGACCAACAGGCCCGTCGACTTTACAGACATTTAAACTAACGGACCTGAAAATTGTGGATACATTATAGCAGCTCCAAACGCTGGGTTTTGTTTACACCCATGTATGGATACTCATACGCATATACGGGTCGTACCTTTTTTGCCCCTGGTGGGTATCAAACTCCCTGTACAATTAAAAACAATTGAGATAATAAGGTAGGTCGTACGGAGTGATAATAGTTTTTTTTTGTAACCTACTTAAAAAACAGGAGGAGGTTTTTTTATGGATTTGATTGTTTTTTATGTTTGTTACACCGTCGTTTATGAACCGATTTGAAACATTCTTTTATTCGAGGAAAATAAGTCCTAAAACTGGCAAATTAACAGTTTTTTCATCATCAACAGCCTTTAATAGTCCACTGCTGAACTACAGCTTATTACAATTCCTCAATTGTAGGCTATATGATAAGCGATGCAACACTTGGCCTTGGTAAGTCCCTTCAGCACAGTGTTCAAGTCAAACAAAAGCAATTTAAGCATCATCACATCATCAAAGCCTTTAATAGTCCACAGCTGGACGTAGGCCTCTGCTTAGAAAGGTTTTGGCCTACAACACCACGCTTGCCAGGCGGGTCGGTATAGGGGTTGAATTAAGAGTACAACGTTTTAGTGATTTTTCCTTCAGAAATTAGAAAGAGAAAGAGTTTGGTCTTCTGGTAACCTCACCCACTCGCTAAAAAGAAAAAAAGAGTTGTTAAACACCAACTTTTTGTAAGTCCGGGGGGTTCACTGCCTATTTGTGCCGAAAGCACGTCTCTCCGACTTCAAATTGACCAGTCAATTGCCCTATTGTCGTTAAACAGTAATCTCGTCTGTGCTCGTCATTAGACCGAAATGCCACAAATATTCCGACCTACTGTCATGAGTCGCAAGGCCGACGTTTACGAGCTGGAAGTGTGTTCCGCATGCCTGTGACTCATAGGAATGCTGTAATACAACACATTTTACGAGTAATCTTTATAAAAACTTTTTAATTGATTTGTTTTGAAAGGCTGTGGATAAAAGTCGATGGCGCGGAAAACTACGAGTCACAGACAGCCGGTGTTAATTTTTCACCGAGTGTATGATTTCACCGGACCCACAATCTATCCTAATTCCGGGGAGCAGTATGTGACTCAAAGGACGGAAACTAGTCTCTCTTATATGCAGGAGTCTATACCATACAGAATGATAATAATAATAATTTTAATTGCCTAAAATTAACTACACAATAAGTAGAAAATTACACATCATCATCAACAACAGCCTTTAATAGTCAACTACTGGACATATGCCTCTCCTTAGAAAAGAGGTTTTGGCCTACTATACCATGCTGGCCAGACGGATTGGTATAAGGTTTTCCTTCTACTTGCAGTGCTATTATCTCCAGTAGTTTGCTTCCTACACCCACGGGATGAATAGGGGTGGTGACACTCCGTATTCTTAATCCGTCACCACACGGATAAAAATTACACAATAACTACATTGAACAATAATAAGTTGTATCGTTTAGTATGGCATTTGATAATATGAGTCCCCTGATCCTGCAAACAAGGATTTCCTGTTTTTTTTGAGAATCAATAGTTCGCTTTTGGGCAATGCATTGTAATGCATTAATTAATTTTAATTATTCTACATGAAAATGTAACATGGTTAGGTTGGGCAATGAAGTAGGTGATATATGTGTTTGTGTGTGTGTGTGTGTGTTTGTTTGTGTAGGCGTGTGGGTACGTGCGTATGCTAGTTTATGAGTGTGTATGTGTACGTAAGAGTGTATGTGTTTGTTTGTAAAAATAAATAATCCTAAAGTCATAATTCTTAGTACCCGAAATTGATATAAAAATTATCTTCATTCAAATAACATGTAAGTACTTAAAATTAACGTACTTTGAATTAAAGGAAAAACAACAACCTTATTATGAATGGAATATTTTATGAAATACCCTGATAAGGTTCTACAGTACTTAATTACAACCGCCCACTGCCTACTGGCTACGCAATCCGTAGCATTTAACCGTAGAGGTCGTAGCACTGGCGCAATATTTAAGACCAACCGTAGGCATTACTTTCAATAAAGAAAAAATGTAGCGTTTTTTATAAAATTTTCACGTTACTAGAGATCGCTTGTCTATGTATAGACTTTATACCATAAGAGATCGAAACTAGACATGGATGTTATTGCTACTTTTGAATCATAATCATATGATAAAATGATTAGTTTTAAGTCACTGCGATTTCACCTGTGATTTGGTCATAGGCAAAGATAAATGCCATCAAAATCAATAACTTTAACTGTTTATGTATAGACCTTTATACCAAGACAAGTAGAACGAAACATATACTGGATCCTTATATAAATAAAATAAATAAATAATATTTCCGACATTTGACACACAAAGCCATCTAGTTTCAAACTAAGCAGAGCTTGTACTATATAAGCTAAATTGATTGATAGAATACTTTTATACTTTTTTTATAAAAACATACATATTATACATAGAAAATACCAAAACTTCGAAACAAATCATGCTTCAGTATAAACGGCTGAACCAGAGATATCGACCCCTTGGGGTCGAAATTGGTCTCCCAGGGGTCGACATAAACGAAAACTGATTTTGGGTGTCGACGAGGTCTAAAAGTCAACCCCTTTGAATCAACTTTAGTTCTTATTTGAATTAGTTTGAAATTTTCAAGATACTGTATGAGTTGTGTTACGTATACCAACTTGTCATAATCATTCTTGCACTTTTAAGCGTACTTTAATTTCCCCATGGGGGTCTGAGATAGTAGTTCAATGTAGAAAGGGAATAGTTTGGGAATCCCTGGGCTATAGTGGGTCTGGATGTTTTGATAACAGCAGTTCCCGGATTCCTCCTATTACAGGCGCAGAGTGGCACACCGTGTGGTTTTAGTCGGTCTGATTCCAACACACAACCCTGCCGCAAAGCCCGGTGGGGTGACGGCCCAAGGGGGTTTCCACACTTAAAAAAAAGACCATAGTGATAGCCACGGCCTCACAGAAAACCGGTGTAAGTTATTCTTTCGTTTCTTTTCGCCGAGTAAGTGATGTTATTAGAGCCCAAGCCCCCACTCCTCCTGATTCTAAAAAGA